TGTTGTCCCAATATGATATATACTTCATGTCACAGAGGTGTTAGACCCTAGAGGGGGGGGGGGGGGGTTAGGGTCTTATGCTAATCTAATCCCAATTAATAGCAATTAAAATTATGTAGATCAATTTGTTCTTGCAAGAATAAATATGATATGAATATGAGCAATAAAGATGAATAATATGTGAGACAATCAAAGCACAGACACACGATATGTTCACGAGGTTCGGTCCCCACGACCTACGTCCCCGCTCCTCACCTCGAGGAGATATCCACTATCACAATCCGGTTTGGAAGCCGGAACTTCTACACACTCGGTTTACAAGTTCACCGAAAACTCTCACACTACACAATCACTCAACAATCACACTTTACACACTAAGTGTAGGAACCTAGCCCGTGTCCTCCTCCTCAAGTGCTCGATTACAACCTCTCCCTAGGTTCGTCAATCGACGCCACTCCTATTGGATTTGACCCCGTCTCTCTCTCCTCACACTTCTCTCGGTGTACAAGTGTGTTACAAGTGAATCTCACAAATAAAGGTTCAATACAATGATTTGTTCTCAATTAACAAGTGAGAACACAATAAAGATCACACTCACTAAATCCCACACTACAACCCACAATATATAATATGAGAATATCAAGCTCAATAAGTGTGTGTGATAATAGTGAATCAAAACCAATAAATAACTTAATGAATATAGCTAATCAAATGAAAAATGAATATAGCTTAATCAAATGAAAGTGAAATAATAAGCTATATAGGAAAGAGTTTAGAAAACTTCTCAATGAACAAGAAGAGCTGAAGAAATGATGATTCCAATAGGGTTTGAAAGCCTCTTCTTGTTGTAGAAAAACTTCTCTTGAAAACAGATTGATGAAACAACTCTTAATCAGCTCTTAAACGCGATTAATAACTTGTTAAACAACAAACTTGGATTTCTTGAATCTTAGAGAAGAAGAGCAGTAATGGAGTATATATAGCACCCCAATACAACAGCCAGAAATAAGTAAAAGACCAAAAAGTCTATTTGAAAAACTAGCCGTTAGGCTCATTCTGACAACTCGTTGGTCGACCGGTACGGTCGACCGATTAGTTCAAAAACCCAGAGAAACGAAGAATTAAAGCTGTCGGTCGACCGACGGAAAAAGCGGTCGACCGAATTGGAAATTTCGGTCGTTCGATATAAATTCCGGTCGACCGGAGAGCTCTCTGGAAGTTTACTCAGAAACGGAACAACAGTCGGTCGACCGTACCGGTCGACCGAATTCTGATATATGTAAATATACAGGTTTTGGGACTAGTTTGAAAATCCAGAAAAAATATCAAATCAAGTTCAAAAATAATGAAACTTTGGGGAAAGTTTCTAAATGATAAAATAAACATGTTTAAAAAAGAATTTCTGGAAAATCAATTTTCGTTTGTGAAAACTACCTGTTTTTGAAGAATGCTTAGAAAACCTGTAATTTTATGAAAGTGAACTTTGATATAGGACTTGTAAATATTCATATATATATTGTGCATATAATATATGTATATAGTGAAGTATGAAGGAGCTGTAAACATGAGATAAAGTATTTTAACAGCGTTTAATGAAAAATCATCTATATGATAGAAAACGTCAAAAATCGTGTTAAGTGTATATATATTGAGCTTAGATATAATCATACTATATATGTAAGTAAACTATCATATACCTAGGTAAATACACGCAAATGAACTTGAATCTTTAATGCTTGATTAACGCGTGTTGAAATACCTGAAAAAAAAAGAACATAAACACAAAACACTAGAAAGCTTATTAGTAATAAATTGTTTGTCAAATCATCATCAAAACTATAGGGTCAACAATCTCCCCCTTTTTGATGATGGCAAACAATTTATACATGAATATGAAATATATACTAATAATCCACATATAAGCCAAAACAAGAGTAAATCATAATAAGATCATATATAAAAGAATCTATATGTGGTATTTTCTCCCCCTTCGACAACATAAAAAAAAAGGGGAAAATGAAAGATAGGAGCAATGCTCCCCCTGCTTATAAGCATAGATAAAGAATTGTATGTCAAAGGCTCCCCCCTGTCAAAAAGACTGAATGACATCTACTGATCATATATACAGGAGCTAAACCAACAACTATCCATCAAACATATGCAAAAATGATACGAGTAACTCAAATTCTATAAACAAAACATGATTATAGTCTTAACCATGCATTGATCATAACATGATAAACTGACATAAGTAATTACAAAACATCATTTTAGCATCATAGATTTGCATAAATATACAAAACCTAAACAGTGCAAAGAACTCATGACAGGCAACAAATATTTACCACACATCAAATTATGAATGTTGTTTCAACAGTGCATTGATTTATAAAAGAAATAAATTAAACACAATAGGCCACAACATATCAAATAAGCATTAGAAGCAATGTAGTTTTGCACAAAACATGGATTCGTTCACAGATAGTAAATTATACATAAAAAATCACACAAAACCATACATAGTTTGTTCCACAAAGTATCATAGAGTTATTACACTCAAATAAAACAAAGTTATTAAATCATTCATCTCCAAAAGAGAACATCAAAAACAAAGATAACCATCACATAAAGAAACTCAAATCAGTCATCTCCAGCATCATCACCACCATCATCACCACCATCATCACCACCAGAATCAGAAGAGCCTGAGCCATCAGCAGAATCCTCACCAGAATCAGACTCAGAATTAGAAGGGATCCCGAGAGACTGACGCTGATATGAAAGAATAGTCCTAACATCCTTCTGAATAGATGAGACTTGCTTCTGAATACCTGAGTACTGAGTCTCAAGGCGATCCAGACGATCACAAATATCAGAAGTGGAAGATGTAGAGGCTCTAAACTGGGAGTGAGAAGATGATGAAGGAGTGGAGTCAAGGGCCATCTGCATTCTAGAAAGAGAGACCTTATCAAAGAAATCTCTCTTAGATTCAATCTTGGGTTCATTTGTAAGATCAACATTGAAGTGTTTGAAGATGAGGGTGAGAAAGGAGCCAAAGGGTAGAAACTTGGTATGCTTAGATGCCATGTTATTAATAAAGACAGTAGCCCAATCAACTTTGATTTTGGCGAAGATGGCATAAACAGCATTAATCTTATCAGAAGCGAAGTGATCAAAGCTACCAGTCTTAGGAATCAGGTTTTGAGCAACAATTTTTGCAATGAGTTTGGCAATAGGATTAAGTGAATTGTTGTTCATAGGATAGGAGAAACCAGGTTTAAACATTAATTGATTAACAGCAGGATCACTAAGCTCAATTGACATGAGACCAACGTCACTTGTTGGGATTTCAAGAATCTCAGCAAGTTCGTTAGCAGAAAAGGATATTGCAATATTTTTAACAGAGGAGATGATAGTCAAACTACCATCAGCAGAGGATGATGTGGACAAATTTGCATAGAATAGATAAACTAAAAACGGATAGAAGGGAACTTTATATGCCTCCCCTAGATGAGAAAGTAGACATAAGAACTCAGAAATCAAAAGGTAAAGGAAGAAATTACCCACAAAACTGATGAGAAATGACTGAAAGTAGCAGCGGTTGAATCCAAACGGGCGACCGAAAAATTTTGGAACCCTAGGTCTGCGATTTCAAAGAGGAGGAAGAAGAGGGGTCGGGTGTTTTAGGAGAGAAGACAACGACTGGGATTAATTGCGCAAGTGCAGAGGCAACCGTTTAGGACAGAACTTCTAAGCTCTCTTCTTTCACTACTCTCATTTCTCCAAGAAATTTTGGCTACATATTTATATTCATATTTTGGGCAACCGTTTTCGCCTGAGCATAAGCTCTGTGACTCACGCCCGAGTGCAGAGGCCGGCCGATTCCGGGGTTTTTTTCGCTAGGGGAGAGGGGAAAAATTACGCCAGGGCGATAGGCGGGTCCTTAATCTTCTAGGGCAGTGACATCACGACTGCTCCCGATCAGGCTTGAATTTTCTAACTCTTTAATTTGGATTTTATATTATTATATTCCTGTTTTGACAGCAAAGTTAACATATACTGATTGATGTACTCAAAGTTAACATATACTGATTGATGTACTACTAGAAAACCTTAACATGTATGTTAATAAACTTAACATTTATACTAAAACAGTTAACATGTAATACTATAACAAGTACTGTATATCTTTCCTTCTCTCAAAAGCCTAAACTTACTTCTTTCTAGTGCAAGAACCATATATCCCATTGAACCTTGTTTCTTTCCCTTGCTAAGTTGTTCACCCTTTTGCATGCCCAAAAGAGTATTTGTCGCTTCATCAGTGCTGTCATTCCCAGAGGAATGATGTGATTCACTATCCCTCGATGTGACACCATGGTCATCATTCAAGGAAGCTGTGGGATTACTTTTAGATTCACCATCAACGACGGTGCTACATGGTTCACAAACGACCTTTGACGACACAAAATTAACTTCATTTCGGTTTTTTGACCGTCGTTCACACCCAATGTGATCATGCTCTGGACGCCCACTATGATGAACCACTTCAAAATCTGTCCTTTGTGGCCGTATCAAATGATTTTCTGTTTGAAATTAGGTTTTCGGTTATTTTTCACCTAAAAAGCCCTAAATTGGGAGAAAGAAAAGGGTGTTCGGATTCTCTGATACCTGTTAAGAATAGATGGGTGAGGGAGAGGGTAATTGAATTCGGTTATTGGGTGTGTGG